AAGCTTATTCAAAAAGATACATTCATTCTTTTTTAATTCCCAAAAATATATGCTTTTCATTCTTCTTAGCAAACCTGTTAAAAGCTAAACTTATTATCCGATGCACATTACGTGGACTATTTATTGCACTTAAAAGCGAAATTATCTTCCATAAAGAGCATATTTTGTCGTATATCGTTTCGCTGAGAACGAAGGAATGACGAGAAAAGAAATATCCATAAAGCCTCAAAATGCAATTCCCCTATGCTTATTCTCGTGGAATATTCCTCGAATCGTAAAATCGTTACCTAGAAATCGTCTGGTGATTCTCTTGCTGAAACGACGACAATTGCCAATATAACGCGTCTATGGAGCACGTGTTCTGCGCTTTTATCGAAATGTAATCTAATTTTCCGATATCGACAAATTTGCAGTATTCTGATGCAACCGTTTCACGTTTTACGAATCTACGTTCCATACAACTATCATGTTTCTTTGACGAACAAATTCGAATGCCTCAACATATGCGACAAAGTTTGTTGGAAGTAATTTCATTCCACGAGAAAATATTTAATCCAGAAAAATAGGAATGCCACAAACTTCCGAAACTTTGAAAAATGCTTAAATCCTCCTTGACGTGTCTCATTAATCGTGGTAGTCAGAGAGAAACTTTCGGAAATTAATATCCCACGAATTTATTTCGACTGAATACATATAGCGGGTTTCGAAATACTGTTAGAACTCGGAAACATTTTCTATATAAAATATGAAATGTGTAAAACTAATTATGAAATTAACAGTCCATTATTGTTACGTCAAATATGAACATTTTTTTTTAATAAAAATAAAAAATCGAGAAGATTAATATTAAGATTATTGTTGTTATAATTTACTTGCAATAAAAGGTTTCTTTAGCAGGTAACCTTTTTCGTATAAATAAAAAAAGAAGAAAAGAAGAAAACGAGGCTGAAAGTGATTATGGAGAAGCTGGAGGAGAAAACTTAATTGCAGGTAAATTAAACGCGCGATTCAAAATGAAGCGGCTTAAGCAACACAGAAAAGAATTAAAAAAAATATAAAAAAGCTACAGTTCTTTCGAACAGGTCCTTTAATCTCAATTTAAAGCGTGATCGTAGCTGAAAAGTATGACGGTTATTTCAGTCCAGAAAATATTTTTGCTTAAGAAAAAGAGAAACGTAATTTAAATATTTCATCTTCTTCGTATCGTATATTTATGTATAACGTACATTAATCACATGACAACGATAAAATAATCTTACGATTAGACCGCAAGTATTTTCTTTCTCTCTCCGTCTATGTGTAATAAATGTTAATTAATTGTTTCGTAATAATAATCCAAATTCGATCCTTACGTCGCTTTCACTCTAGCGACGTCTATGAAATCATTTTCCGCGGAGCTACTTTCGACAATTTCTTTTACCCGTGCAAGCCTCGAAACGAAAAATGTCGTTTATAAAATAAGTAAATGCTACATGTGTTGAAAGGTACGAGTTGTAGCTTTTCCAATAATAGCGAAGGGAGATTACTTAAAGTTTTATCGGGAAAAGCTACAGACTTACAAGGTATTAGCGTGTAAATATAGGAGGGAAGAATATGAACGATAGAAATAAAAATAAAAATAAAATATGAAAACATACCCTAAGATTTCATCCGTGTTTTTCGACGAAGACTTTCCGAAGGTTTTCCGATCAACGAATTAGAAAAAATGTGGCGGGAACGAAAGGGACGTGAAAATTTTCTTGCCGAAAACTCGCCGGTGAAAGACGGCAGCCGGGTCGTCGTTGCACCAAATGCAGAAACCGGTTTAGTTCTCTCTTTCTGGGATGCTGTGGCAAGGTCCTCCACCTTTTACACCGTGTCCCTCAAAGATGTGCCACGTTCATTTTCGTCGGGTCTCCTTCCCCGGGATGTTCTCGATATCTCGCGAAACGAAACTGTTTTTTCTTTGGCCGCATCCTGCGGCTATCTCACGCTTTTTTTCGCAAGCTGAAAACGTCACCCTCTGCGCTTAGACTTTCCCTGACTTACTTATTCGACACTCGAGGCGATATTACTCGAGGCTGTTCTAGAACGACACCTGTCTCCTATCGGTATCTTTTTGTGACAGGAATTTATGATCATGCTGGCATACTTGGAGTTACCGAACAGGAGACGTCGACGAACTTAATAATTCGACCCTTTGCTCTTCTTGATTATCCAACCAAGTTCTTCTGTTCGATAAACTTTACCAAACATCGAATATTTTTTCAAACGTTCTCTTAATTTTCCGTCGGTCTAATTGTCCGCGTTGAAAATTAATTTTATCATTTCCTACAGATCCTACGGATGCTTCAAGAGATTCTAAAATTCGTTTAAGATTCAATTTTCAGCAATTTGATCCTCTGTTATAATATCGCCGCAAAAGTAGCAAATTACCTAACAATTTTCTGAACAACTAATTGGAAATTAATGAACAAAGTTGTTAGCGAAACGTAAGAACGATGTTTGCAGGTAATACTCAAGAAGGAAAGAAAATTAATACAAGTTACAAAGGGTTGATTTACGGAGTCTCGTCGAGGAACAAAGTATCTAATCAAGAAAGCCATACATTAGAGACTGAACGTTGGCTGGTGTCGTTTGCCAAAGACTATCGTATTCTGTAAAAGCGATCTCGTTACCGCAGGTTGGTCGAATTACCAGAAAATCCAGGCCAACAGAGGGTGAACGTTCAATCGTACGCTTTCGATAGATTCAATCGGTGCTCCATTGTATCTCGTTGCTTTTCACGGGTATTTCGCTTGTGTTTCACGAGTGCTTCACGAAGAGAATTTGGTGGAAGAAACGCGAACCGCTTCTCGCAACATCTTCGAAGGTTTTGACGCCACGCACTGCACCATGGGAAACGAGAGTGCGAAATCGACGCGAAAATTCAAACGCGAACCGTCTCGTTCACCTGTTCACACGCTAGAAAATCACCTGTGGGGACACTGCGGGAATTGAATCATCGGATTGCGACACGAAACGAAAGACCTTTTCGTGGAGAAACAACCGTGCACGCGAACAATCGTGGACTGAGAGCCTCTTTAGACAAGCGACTCCGAGTAGCCAACCGCGTGACCGAACACGAGGACGTAAACAAAGCGTGCAACACGATTGGACGAGACGCTACCTGACCATTCAGGTATACTGGCTCGTTCATGGACGCTTTCTGACCTGACTGTATCACAAAGAAATTCTATTTCGAATAATACCAAGCTTTGCCGGTAACAGGTTCATCGATGGTACAACTTGTTACCTCGAACCTACGCGATATCGCGTGCCTCCTTTTTCTGTTATTTCGGTGAAAATTTTCAAAAAATATATACGTATTGGATGAGCTAGCGGGTTTAATTATTTTCGTACAAGTTTCAATTTAGATAGATAGCCAACGAATAGCAGCAATTATATGTTGGAAAACCAAACGTCTGTGTAAAAGTGAGGTTAAGTATAATTATTTCTAATTCAGCTATCGTTCCAAGTACTCGAAACAGGAGGATATCTCTTGAATCGAAATGCTAACACCTCGTTTATTTCTATTTCTAATCAATGTTATTTATTATAATTTTATAACATTCCAGTTATCGCATTAAGATATCCTGTAACAAGAAACCATAAAGCCTCTGATATCGCTGTGCTATTAAATGCATCATAAACCTAATTTTCCCGAAAGACTGAGTAATTTTATCGAATGATCCTCCTGGTTAATTAACGAAATTCATAAAAAAAACATATTAAATGGAAATTAATTCAGGCTCATGGTACATTGCTGACAGTCACTGACACCGGCTTTAATCTGTTGTCCACGATGGTAAAGGTTACGCCGACGATAATCGCAAACAGCAAAACGCGTTACGCAGAGTTAATCGTCTACGCTGGCGTATAAATTTACTATGAATTTATAGGGTGAATCAGACTCGTAACGATCTTCACAATGGTCAAGCAGCTTCTTTTACTTTCACCTCATTGTTTACACGCTCGACGTACAGTTACGTTCCTGTAGAGGAGGTTTCCTGCTGTTTCTGAGCAGTCACGCCACGTGGCCGAAAAGAAAATTCGAGAAAGAGACGCGGAGACGACGAAGTACGACCTTCGTCTGGTCAAGTTCGTAGGCGATCGGTTCGGGTTTAAACACAAGCCAAGTAATCGAAGGTGCACACTGTACGCGTACCATGGAATCTCGTGTTACGGATGCCAGAATGATCGGGACACGTGAAAGGACCCCCCGAATGTCACGAGATTCACGAGGCTCGTGCACTGTGCACCTTTCTTCGGCGGGAACGTTACTCCCTTCTCGTCGACCAAGTGGGGCCGACCGGTTCTTCTCCTCGCGTATTCTCCGGTCGCTGGTTAAAACTACCTGGCGATTGGTTGGAAATGGAACTCGTACTCAGGAGCGTAACTAACGTCGGTTGTTGGCGCGAGGCAAACGGGAATAAGGAATTAATTATATCGAGATAATGTTGGGATAAATAATTGTGGTAAAAATCGGAGCCTAAAATGGAGTATTCTCTTCGTTGTAATAAAGGAATTCGTTAACGCGCTCGAAACAATTACGCGTCGCCGAGTCGCAGAACCCCGATTCTCTTGAAGCGCGATAATAACGAGGCGTTCCTGCAATTTAACTTCAAACTACTAGTGCTCCCAGCGGTCGGAAACTTTTCATCGTTCGATTGTTCTTCGAGGACAAGCTCGTGCGCGAGAGGCAGATTCAACTCGGACAAATATCAACGCGTTTCGTGGCTATCGAGTTTAATCGACGCCAATAAGTTCTACGAAATATTTCGAGAATACCTGACATTCATCTTTCGCTTGTCAATATTTTTACCGCAGACACGAATTCAAGAAATAAATGTTGACAGAGCACACATGGAATCGCGTTTTCTACGCGCTTACGGATATTCCACGGTCAAAGAATGATAAATCGAATTCCATTTCCGTACGAGTTCTCGTAAAAAAAAAATCAGAAAAGATGGGGCACTTACCCAGTACCGCTCTCTGACCCTTCACCCTTCTTCCGATGTTTGGCGAGACGAGGCTGAGTCTGTCACCTCTGGCACCCAACAGGGGACTCGGACTCCTCCTCGGTGGTGGTTGATCAACGAAAAGTCCATAACTACTGCCAGCGTTCATGGTGCTACTGGTACTGACAGTTCCAACCCCTCCGGTGGCACTCCATTCCGCCACGCTGTCGATTGAACTGCTTCTTGGAAGGCACGAACTAGTTGTGCTGCAGTCTCGTCTGTCAATCGGAAAAATCCATTTGCACATTTTCGACCGATCGTAAAAATTTTCTATTCGATTTGCGACACGATATGGAAATTTTATCCGACAAAGCTACGCTGTTTCTTAAAAAGAAAAAGAACAATTATTTTAAGTGGTAAGACCAGCAAGCGGTAATTAAACGTTCGTAATAATTGAACAGTCGAATATGACATTCGGCAAATTGGATTTATTAAATTCATAAAGACCGAACGGAACTTCAAACATTTAATTTTCACCCCATTTAACCATTCGTTTACAACCATCCTCTTTCCAGCGTGTGCTGACCTTTGGCACACGCTGCACACGCACACAGCGCCTCATGCTCCAAGGCTATAGTCGTGTTTTTATTCAAAATTGCATCGATGCAATAATATTAATCTCGTTTGGCTAACGAATCATCTTTTTTCTCCGTTTCGTCTGCTTTTACCGTTCAGCGTTGCCTGCATTACAATTGATAAAATTATTCTGCCGAATAGTATCTTTCTTTATTATCCCTGGATTTTTTATTTTTAACAAAATATATATAAAAGACATCGATTTTTATTCAATTTTCATTGTTCGTTCTCTCTTATTGGTTCATCCATCGCGAGTAAGCGGAAGGAAGAGAAGAAAAGAGTAAGGAACATGAATAATAGAAGAAACCCGATTGAAATTTCCAGCGACGGCAAATCATCTCTTGCTCGAACTATTTTTTGTGTAATATTTTTTATAACAAGTGTATATTTGAAAATCGTCGACTGAAATATTTTAGCTAGAAAAATAAAGAATACACGGGAAGCGGAGCGTACGCGGCACGCTTGTAAAGCAGCTATATTCGCAGAAACCTTTTAAATATACCATAAAATTTCCTTATTCTTCTCTCTGTAGTCCTACGAATATATCTCGTAGAAGCAGCCAGACACGAAACGACGTTGATCTCTTCAAACTCGAGATCCTCGCTCGCAAAGAAATATAGGGAAAAATGAAAAATGGAAATACGCCGGCTTCGAAGAATTTTAATATTCGCGGTACTGTGCAATGAATAAGAGTAAAAGATTAAAAAGGAACCGCTGCTTTGACCGTCAACTAAGGCTAATTAATTCGGACACTTTGCCTTTTCGGTCACGACATTCTCTATTTTCAATGTTGAAAGGATGGCAAAGGAAAGAGAGAGAAAGGACCATCTTTATACACGCTATTCGACTAGATTGGGCCTCCAGATTACAAGCTGGCGAACGAGAGGGTTCGTTCTGATTTTCAGCTCGTCAAAGTAACTGGAAGAAGCTAACCTCCGAGGCAGACACACTTTGTCTCTTTGCAGGTCTCTCGTGTTTTCGTTTCACACCCGGCGCCCAGCATTTCCCTCCACGATCATGAAAGTCGGATTTTCTTTCGCTTTACCGCTCTCGCGACTATCCACGTTTCGAATCATGAATTAATTGCCGTTACAAATCGAATTACTCTCGATCTCGGTTATCTGGTCAATTTATCAAACGGTGCCCCGATGAATTCGAAACGAAGATAACTTCGTTTCAAATTTCAATATGTTCTTGATTAGCAAAAATAATACCAATAATAAAATAACGTTTCGAATCGATTCTAGAATCTTTTAACTAGACGGTTGACCGATAATATTCTTCGAGTTGTCGTCGCTTCTTCCAGTTTCTAATTAACGCAGGTAACTCTCTATGCGTCCTCTATAAAAAGAAAACTTTCCATTGCTCGCTCTTGGTGGGCAAGTCGTCTTTTTATCCTCATAATTATCTCCATTCAAATTATATAGCAGTGACATAAAATTACCCAGTTGGCGGCGACCGATAATCGCGAATTCGTTTTATCTCGGTAAAAAAACACAGTCGTTTCACTTTGTCTGCCATTGATCGTAATTTAATGTCCTTCGTAACATGCATACGCGTAACGACTCGTTTGTTAGTCGTTTGCAAGAAAAAATGCAATTTCTTGCTCTCGTTACTTCGAGCGATCAATGGAAACAGCGTATTAACAACAATTTCTATTTTTCCGCAAAATTGCAACATCGCGCAAACATTCTAAATGCGATGAAAAATTCGATAGATTGCGGTTCAAGCGTTTGAACAACATATTAATTTCGTTGCATCTCGCTATTTCAAGGAAACGTGTGAACTATAAATAATTTTCAACGCCACCGGAGGGAAGATAATTGCTTTTCCTCTTGGCTAGGGGATAAGGTTTCAGACTTGACGGCGAAGGAAAGGTCAGACACAAGAGGAGATAACACTAACTGTGATAAAAAAAAGAAGAGAAACCATCTACTCGACCAGGTTAAATTCGACTATATTTTTCCCTCATGGTGGTTGAAGCAACTTAAGATTAAGCTCCTTCAACAGCCGAACATAAATGATCTCTTCTTAAGGAATTTTTTAAATATTTTTAAAAGTTTATCTAATAACTACAAGTTTAACGCGTTAATTGCCATCAAACTTATCGATGGCTATGTCGAGAACTAGAAGTAGATCGGATAAGCAATCAAAGTTTCTAAGCTTCCCGTAAGACAAATTCGGCAGCATCGACCAAATAAACAAACTTCCCTTCGCGAAACGGAATAATATATTTTTGGGGTCGAGTGGTAATGCGTTCTTTGCTCGAAATCGAGTTTCATTGGTTAAAACGGGGCCACGTCCATTTGCAAATTGAACCTTCTTCACCCTTCACGAATCGTTCCACGAGAATAAAACGCGCATACATCGCTGTGGTTTAACCCCTGTCCCTATACACATTTGTTGCACCGCGATATTTCCCCCGTGCCGTGCGATAGATCTTTGTTTCGACGGGCTTGGCCGTCGCTGATTACCTGGGTTTTAAAATAATGCTCATAGATCGTTGGAACGGTAACGGTAAAACGAACTCGAAATAATTAAATTTTGAATGATACGATAATGATAGCAAAACAAGGATAGATCAAAAAGCGTGTTTTCTGCTCGATCGAACAATGTGAGGAGCGACGGTCTCGAACCAATTTTTCGAGTCTCCGAGGCAATACCTTTGCCGTGCACGTTTTAGGGATACTACGCTAACCGATTTCGTGGCGTACCTTTCCCAGGAGAGTCTTCGCGGGATTTCATCGCTAGGAGTGAAGCTCGGTCTTTGGTTCAAGAGCCTGGCCAGCCTGGTCAAAGGTTGAGAACCACCGATACTAGAGGTGCTCAATAATCTACTGCTTCTTGTCGAGTGTTCCTTCGAAGATTCTCTCGCTTCTGCTCCAGAATCTGAAACGCGACGTTCTAAACAAAGCGAAAGAGCGTTAGGAATAGATTTCAAGAGACGGACGCTATGATCAGGATACGATCAAAGAGGCAGTGACGCGCTACGAAATTATACTTGCATACGTTTCTTTCTCTGCTAGGCAGCAGACTCGAAGAAGGGAGGATATCGGAAAATTTTTGAAATATCCGCTATACGGTATACCTATCGGATTTTCTTTTTCACGGAATAATTCTTCGCGAAGGAAATTCGTTTATGTCTAGAAGACAGGTTCAAGGATCGAAGAAGTGGGGCTGTAAGTCACGGAACAAACTTCCGATATCTTACCTATCGTGTCATTCGTAAAAGATATCCTCGGCGTGAGCAACTTGGTGCAATGGGAAGCGGTACTCCCACGTTTTGCGGAACTTCCGCTCTCTGCAGGGGATGGAACGGATAGACCCGTTGAAGTTGCTGTAACCATTCAGAGACGATTGTATTGTTTCTTCAATGGCACTGCTATATACACTCAAGCTGTTGCAAATAATGCACACCATGATAAATAAAGCATTTACGCACAATGTTCCTTTACCGAACATAACATTTTGTAGTTCCCCTTATATTAAAAATAGTCACAAAAGTTTGCACGATTTATATGAAAAAAGTAGCGATTGATAGCGAAAAATATTTGGACATACCATTGTAACGAGCATCGATCTGGGCTTGCAGAATACTTAATCCAGGCGCAACGATGGCTGGTAGAGTCCTGGATCGCAAGAGTGGTGCAGGACGTCCTCCAGAACCTCTCGTTGATCTGCCTTCCGGTTTGCATTCTACCGTAGGAATACTGAAACAAAGAAATGACTGGTCAGAAAAATGCATCGTTTTTATTTGGATTTATGGTTTCGCGTTGGCCAGGAAGAAAAGGTCAGTGGCAATGACCCGAAGTAACCCCTCGCACAAACGAACAAGGAAACCGTTGTCACGAGATCGGGATTACGGATACTGACTCGCAGGAAGTTCGTCTAGTTCTCGAGTGCTTTGTCTCCCGAGCAGAAGCAACGACTTCCTTTTATTCCCCTTCGATGATCACGTCGGTGTGTATAAAAGCAGCGATGTCACGAACCAACCACTGAATTCTGCGTTATTCTCTCGATTGAACGAACGTTTATTAGACGAACAGAAGAAGATATCGAAAATCGCTGGAAAATCTAGTCCGAGCGGAAATCGCTTCACCTCCGATCCGGAATCGAATCGCGAGCATCGGCCAATTGAATTTTCGTGAAATTTTTACTTTTATCGACATGCACCGATGCAAAATTTCATCCCGGCTCTTAAATTGACAAACTTCTAAGCTTCGGATCCAAACCCGACAAAGTTTGGAATTCATTTCTGTAAACGACTTGTAAAGCACACTATCCAGAGCATTGTCGGAAACGATCCTTGTACTGGAGGGCGTGTTAACAGATCTTGTTTATTCGGTGTCAAACAAAGAACAAGAGACATTGTCGAGACAAACTTCTCGGATGTTCAAAAGCTTCGCGCTACCAACTTCATCGAATTGCGGTAAACATATTATAGACGCAATTGCGTCTCGTTCGTGTTTCGGCCGCTTCGTGAACTTTCTATCGTGTCACATTTTGCATTCGATATAAACTTTTAATTATTAAATAAAAAATTCCAACGTTTCTCAATTTTCTACTAAACATTTGCAACACGATTCGTTAAAAAGTTTTTCGTGCCTTTCCTGTAACTGAAAAAATACTTGAAGTTTGCGTAGAAGGTTGCTAAGAAGGTAAAAGATTTGAATCTCAACAACTCGAAATAAGAAACTCGATAAGTTTCTTAAATGGTATATTTATATTTACGATTTTCTAGACGTTTGCGGTAATGTCTTGTAACAACCTCTCCGGCGTTGTAAGCTACTCTGAAAATATTTTTCTATGACTCTGCTTTATTTTTCAGCGCCGTTTTACGTCGCTTGTCCTCGTTTCGTGAAATTAAACAACCTCGAAGTAGCTGCAAGGGTTTTGCTACTTGAAATTCTGAAGAAAGCGTTTCGAGCGAACGTTAACGAAGCGAGAAAATGCCGAACTTTTAGGATACGTTTGTAAATTTACTATCTTATCGGATAGTTGATTACTCGATCGCTATTATGATTGTTTTACAAGTTTCAGTAAGTTGTTCGATACCTGAAACGCGAAACGTAAACGCGACACTTTTAACGAATTCAGGCTAAGGCAATGAACAAATTACCGTTCGTAAATCGAGCTCGAAAACTGTCTCGCTTTTTCTCGATTTTTTCCTCGCAGACCTTCGAAATTCTGGCAAATCGAAACAATAAACGTCAGGGAGTGAAAAGCGAGAAGCGCGAGGAGAAAAAAAAATAGGAGAAAAGGCAGAGATATAGAGGGGGCTGTATCTCGTTCGACATTCATTTCGTGGAGCGGTCTTCTGCATCGACGCGCTTCGATTCAACCCCTGTTTTTTCCGCTTCGAATCACGCCGTTTTCACGCTCTCGTTGAAAATCGGACGACCAGCAAGCGTAGTAAAGACCGATGCAAAGTGACATTGCTTCTCGAGTAAGAGGATTCCTCTTGGACGAAGGAACATCGCGTCGAGCGTGCGAGCCTAGTAAACGGGACTGAAACTCGAGGGGAACTGTCTGTTTTCCAATCGTCGCGGTCATTGAGCATGCTCGATATTCCTTTAACGAGCTTTCCATCGATCTTTAATCCTCCGACTATGCGATACTTGTCTCGAAATTTCCGACGCCTTCGTCTTTCGTTTCTTTCTTCCGTTCTGTAAATTTCTTCTAAATTTGGTAATACCTTTCGATCGCGGCAACTCTTCCACATTCGAAGTGTCTGAACAGAGTTGTACAGGATTTGTAAACTTTGCCCAAAATGCTTAACTTTCCTTTCTTTGGAATTTTTCCCGACATTTGTATGCGCTTCTGAATTTTCATCCATAAATATTTGTTGCATTTGTTAAGTTCGAAAAGTACAATTTGTATCGACGAAGTCCTTTGAAAATCGTGACGTTTCTTATAAAAACCTATTTTAATTTTGCAACGAAGAGGTAAAGGAGAACGATATTGTATTTTAGCTTCGCCTACCTTGGAAATACTGAAAATTATCGTGGAACAACTACGATTTTGATTGTTATGCCCCAGCGAGTTAACTGTGTACTAACTCGATGTGTGCTAACGCGATGGGTACAATTAAACGTAATAATCATGCGAAACTCGCTGGTTTAGTTCGCGAATTGTCGCAGCGTCGTGCTCGTTTCCGAGAATATGTATGCTGCGTACCATGCATATAACTTGGTGAAAATGAATTTTTAAACAGGACCAAGAGTGCCAGCCTGAAGGGGGATCTACAGAAGCCAGCCAGGCGTTTGTTTACCGTCTTTTCTCATTAAAATGTCGCACGAATTGCACGAATAACAACTACTAATGACGCAATTAGACTACGAAATTCGCCTTAATTACATCAGATAACATGAAAATCCATGAATTTTGAAAGCGGCTCTTTCTCGAGTTAATTAATCAAAGCAATAAAGAAGCTTTTACCTTTTCACAGAGACAAATCCCCGACCTTATGCCATCCGGCTGGCGCAAAAATAATTGCAACATTTTAATGGGTAACTTGAAAGTTTAAATTTAATCGTTTTTGCATCGATCGAATACGATTTTAAGAGAGCGTACTTTCGAATATCGACGTTGCGTTGTGCATTTAACATCCGGCTCGAAGTTCTCGCCTGGAACGAAATACATCCATCTGGACGTTCCCGGATAAAAATTATTCGAACACTCGAGTCGGAGATACGATATTTCGAGCACGATCCTCCATAGAAAGAAGGAAAGAAACTGTTTGCTCGGTATAAATCACACGGTCTTATCCAAGGTGATCAGCTTTTCCAATGACAAAATTTCGCTCGGAACACGGTAGCGAAGCTTTCAGAGAAATCGTGAGCTCTCCTTTTACCGAATCCTGTGAAACCTGATTCTCATCGATTTTCATCGCAGCATGAAAATTCAACTGGCTCTCGTGCGAACTCTAAAGAATAACCAGTTGTTTTTTAACAGTCGAAATCTTATACGTCGATTCTAAACACTCGGATCTCTACGTTGGTAAATCAGAGAGAACGAAAGGTTCGGAATATTTCGCACCGTTATCATCGACAAAGCTCCATTTCAGTGGTTCGCTAGAAAATCCGAGTAAAAGTATCGAAGAATATTAAGCGAATTTTCCTCGATGAGAGCCGACGAGAAGACAGAGGACGTCGTCTCTTTTCTCGGTTCACGACGGAACAAAGCACCGATTGAATTTATTTTTTCTTGTTCTTCCGTTAAGGACTCTACAGGGAGAGATTTCTTCCGCGAGGATGCGACTCGAGTTTCACTCCCTTCGTTACTTGTTCGTTAGGAAGTCTCGATCTAATTCTCGGAATTTCCCGACTGTGGTTCTCCACGGGCGTGTCTGTTGGCGCGAGGTGTCAAATTAAGAAAAGCATCGTCTGGAATGTGTCGTAAAGCGACGTCGAAAGTGCAAGGAATCTCGTTAGAATGTAACAACCAGCCTTTCTACGAGTTGTACGATATCGGCGACTTCCTCGAAAACAATTTTTCAGAAGGAAAGTACACCCTTGTTTCAGCGGCGGAGATTTTGCGGAAGGATCAAAGAAGTGAGTTATCGATCAATTCTGTAACGTGGGAGCTGGTAAGATTTAATAAAAATTAATTTAGCGAATGCGAAGGGAGTCGAGTTCGATAGTCTCCGATGCAAGGGGGAATGTTTAAAAGACTTTATAAGTAGAAAGGGGGTTAATTAAAAATGGAAAGACTCTTGAAAATAAAAAATCGATCGCGTACAATTATTGATCAAGTCTCTACCGTGAGAGCGAGTACTTTTAGAGTTTAGAGCACAATCTGTCGAGCTAGGTAGAGCACGATGAATCAAATGAAGCTAAACTATACGAAAAATAAAACACCTTTGAGAGCAACGTGACACGAACAAACATGTAGGTAAATTGGTGTACATTGTGCTGCAAACGGATTTCCTAATTGGTATGTACAAAGCAGATCCAATTTCCTAGACCTAAACGATAATAAAATATTCAAAGAGCGTTTACAGAACACCTTTCTAGCGAGCGCAGCGACCAGCTACAACTTTTTTGTTGCAAAAATGAAGTTGGCAATGAACCTAACCTTCGTCGTAAAATCAACCAAAGGAGATTCGTTTCCCTTTCGCGAAGACTTATCCCCGGTACCTTTTCTAGTCCCGCAATATTATCGAATTACGCAACGTTGGCACAATACTCTTCTGAACAATGGAGTCACGCTTTCTCCGCGCAATTTCTCTCGTACGTTTGGCCGCTAATAAAGAAACCCCGAGAAGACTGACGAGATCGGATTTTAGCGAGCGAACCTTTTCGACGATGAACGCGTAAGCCATTATCGTGGTCGAGAACAAGGAAATGGTCGATGCGTTATATTTAACGTTTTCATTATCACGCCGTCCATATTTCGACGGGGAACGAATCGCCATAAAAATCTTATCACCCTCCTATAACGATTAACGATCTATAACTTTATTAACTATTTAGAAGTATATCTGATTGAATTTCTCGTGGTGAAGAGAAGATATTGAGAGCAGGATGGATTAAAACTGAAGGAATTTTTGCATCGTCCTTCGATACTGCGTAGGACTCCGAGAATTTCTGCGCGCGCCGATACAACGCACATCGTATACAGATAAATATAGGAAAAGCGTACTTAGACACTGGAAAAGAATCGTCGAAAATAACTCGAGTCTATTAACTGAAATTCAGATATTATTAAC